CGGCGCCCTCTCCGCGTCGACGGCCGCCGGCGCGGCCGCGGCCGCCGCGGCCGCGCGGTCCGCCGCGGCCGCGGCGCCCGCGGCCGCGCCGGCGGCCGTCGCCGCGGCGAGGGCGCCGCAGGCCAGTGCCCCCGCGCACGCGAGGCGCAGCGCGCCGCCCCGGGCCTCGCGGTCCAGCGCGGCCGCCGCCGTCCGCGCGGCCGCCGCGCGGAGCGCGGCCGACACCGCTCCGAGCGCGGCGCGCGCGGCGGCCTCGCGCGCGGCCTCGGCGGCGGCGCAGGCCCGGAGCAGCGCCACGCGCTCCCCCGCGAGCCGCGCCTGGGCGCCGGACCGCGTCCGGGCCGCCTGCCGGACGTCCGCGACGTACGCGGCGTAGTGCGCCTCGTACGCGGCCCCGATGGCGGCCTGCGCCTCGCCCATGCGGCCCCCCAAATCCTCGAGCTCGAGGAGCCGCGTCTCGCGGAAGTTCGCCGCGTCGCCCTGGAGCTGGTCCAGGCGCCGCGCCGCGAGCTCCAGGGGCACGTAGGGCTCGCGCGGCGCCGGCGGCTCGGCCTTCTTACCCACGCGCGGCGCCTCGTCGCCGAAGGACGCGCCAAGCGGCGCCGCGGACCGCGCCCCGGACGGCGCCGCCGGGGCCTTGTGTTTGGGCTTCGGCCAGAGGCCCATGGCTAGCGCATCCCTTTCACGCGCTGCCCATCGGTGCCGGGCAAAAACTGCAATACGGTGCAGGGCAAGGTGCGGGTATAGTGACTTTTTATACCTAAAATTTACGTTTCGCAGCCTAGACCTCGTCGTCGCGCGCGAGGCGGCGGCGCCCGTGTTCGGCGCCCCGCGCCGCCCGCGCCCGGGCCGCGCGCGCCTTGGAGACGAGGATGCCGCAGCCCGCGTTGCGCGCGGCCGTCGCGTGGAATTTCGCGTCGCGGCCGCCGGCGTCGCGCGCGTCCGGGTCCGCGCCGCCGTCGAGGAGCACCTCGACGACGGCGCCGAAGCCCTTGGCCGCGGCGACGCGGAGCGGCGCGTCGCCGCTGCGGCCGTGCGGCAGGTCCGGGTCCGCGCCCGCGCGGAGCAGGAGCTTCGCCGCGGCCGCGGCGCCGCGCGCCGCGGCGACGTCCAACGCCCGCGCGCCGTCGGCGCCGCGCAGGTCCGGCGACCTGGCGACGCGGAGCCAGGCCTCGAGGGGCCGGGGCGCGTCGCGCGCGACCGCGTCGCGCACGGCCGGCGGGAACGCGGCGCCGTCCGGCGCGGCGGCGCCGGCGGCGCCGGCGCGCGAGCGCCGCGCCGCAGCACCCGAGGGCGACGAGCGACGCCGCGTCGCCGGCGACGCGCCGCCAGAGGCTCCGGAGCTTGCGCGCATGGACGTAGCGGTCGCCGCGGCGCTCCCGGCCCGCGCCGCGCGCGGCGCGCGGCGCGGCGTCGCGCGGCGTCGCGACGGCGCGGCGCCGCGCGCGGGGCTCGGGCCGCCGGAGCTCCTCGGCCATGGCGCGCCAGTCGCCGGGCTCGTCGTCGTCGTCGCCGCGGCCGCGCGGCGCGGGCGCGGCCGTCGCGCCGCGCGGCGCGGAGGCGGGGTGGACGTCCCCCTGCTCGCCGGCGTCGCCGAGGTCCGCGGGCGGGCGCCGGTCCGGCGCCCGGTCCAGGGGCACGTAGCCGTCCGGGTTCTGCTCGTGGTACCACTCCGGCCGCCCCTTGGGGCGGTAGTGCGCGAACAAATTCACGTAGCCCTCGCCTCGGAAGGGCTCGGGCCGGCCGTGGAGGCACTTCGCCGACTCGTAGAAGACGATCTCGCCCGGCCGCTGGGGCACGTCGACGAACTCGCCGCTCTCCAGGTCCTTGATGTGGAGCATCCAGGGCTCGTCGACGCCGTACTGGGCGACGTTGACGATGACGGACGCCGCGTGCGTCGACTCGCGGTCGACGTGCGGTAGCAACCGCGACCCCCGGGGGTAGGACCGGATGCCGTAGAGGTCCGTCTTCTCGAGCTCGACGGCCCCGCCGAGCCAGGCCTCGACGAGCACCTGGATCGCGTCGTGCCACCGGCCCTTCAGCCCGAAGGGCAGGTAGCACATCGACGGCGGCGCCTCCCACCAGTTCACGTACGCTCCTTTCCCGTCCCACTCCTCGAAGGAGAGCGCGTGGCGGTTGTTGAACCAGTACGTCGCCACGTCGGCCCACAAGTCGTCGGGCAGGCTCGCCTTCTCGAAGCCGTGGCGCGTCCAGGACCGCTTGACTTTATCGGAGCGCCGCTCCTCGTACCGCAACGTGCTCTCGGTCTTCGCGGCCCAGTAGTCCTCGGCCTCGTCGCTCGTCGCGCGCGGCCGCGGCGACAGCACGTGGACGGCGTCGTGGGCGACGGCGAAGGACGCGACGTCCGCGCCCGTCGCCGCGTCGACCGCGACGAACTCGTGGCCTAGCAGCGCGGTCCGCCAGTGCGTGTGGCTCTCGCCCGCGATGAGGTCCGCCTGCCAGACGCGCTCCCGCGTCTCCGGCGCGACCCAGTAGAGCGTCGCCGGGTCGCCGTAGGTGAGCCAGCCCACCTCGGCGTGCGCGCAGTCGCGCGCGAACCAGTCGGCGAGCGCCTCGGACGCTTCGCGCCCGCCGTGGCGCCGGAGCGTCGCCGCGGCGCCGGCCAGCGCGACGGGCGCGCCCACCGCGAGGCAGACGACCTCGCAGGCCTCGCCGATGCCGAGGATCGTCGCCGCGGCGCCGCTCGCGAGGGCGCCGGACCGCGCCGCGAGGACCTCGTCGAGGAAGGTCTGCTCGGCGTCGCAGCCGTCGCCCGTGACGGCCCAGTTCGCCGCGAGGCGGCCGTGCGCGCCGTCCGTCGGGAAGTCGGCGATCGCGGAGAACCGCGGCCAGGCGTTCTCTGCGGCGCAACCAGCGATGGCCGCCACGGCGACCAGGCGTCGATGCGCCATCACTCCTGCGTGTGGCAATTTTATGTGCAAGCAGTGGGAAACAACATCGGCGTTTCGGTCCAAGGGGTCAAGCATGGCGGAGATCGAGGGGCTGGTCCGCGCCTTGCGCGAGGGCGACGACGCAGCGAAGGCGTGGGCTGCGCGGGCGCTGGGCGACCTCGCGTTCGCGTACGCCAACGACGCCAACGCAGCGAAGGCGTGGGCTGCGCGGGCGCTGGGCGACCTCGCGTACGCCAACGACGCCAACCGGGTCCTCATCGCCGAGGCCGGCGGCGTCCCGCCGCTCGTCCACCTCCTGCGCGTCGGCAGCGCCGAGGTCAAATCTGCGGCCGCGATGGCGTTGGCGAACGTCGCGTTGGACGCCAACAACCAGGTCCTGGTCGTCGAGGCCGGCGGCATCGCGGCGCTCGTCAAGGTCCTGCGCGACGGAGGCCCGTTCGCCGAATTGCAGGCCGCGGGGGCGCTGTTCTGCCTCGCGCGCAACAACGACGCCAACGCCGTCGCGATCGCGGTGGCCGTCGGCTTCGACGCGCTCGTCGAGCTCGCGCGCGGCGGCCGCGTGACCGTCAACAACCGGTCGGTTATGCGGAATGCGGGCGTCGCCGCCAAGCGCAAGGCCGCGCTGGTCGTCGCCAAGCTGCTCCGCGACCGCGTCCCGGAATTCAAATCGGCCCCGGGCGACATCAAGGCCGCCATCGCGTCGTTTCTCTAGGACGCATCGCTAAAAAGCGCCGGAAGAAAGACAGGTACTAATTTTTAAATCATGCCATTGTCTTAACTCGAGCCTGTGAGAGGGGCGTGCTCGCGCTACATGGAGACCGCGGCGGCGAGCCCGTCGCGCACGTTGTCCGCGTGGCCCCCGTTGTGGGCGCGCGGGAAGCCGAGCGCGCGCAGGATGGCCGCGGCGCGGGCGCCGCGGCCCCGCGCGACGCCCGGGTGCGCGCAGTGCGCGACGAACGTCGCCGTCGCCGCGTCGAGGTCCCCCAGGCGCACGCCCGCGTCTTCGAGCTTGGCGCGGAACTCGTCGGCGAGGGTCTCGTGCGCGCTCTGCGGCTGGCCGTCGACGTTCAGCGGCGCGTGGACGGACCCGTCGACGGGCTCGCCGCCGACGTGTTCGGCGCGCTCCTTCTCCGAGCGCACGTCGAGGACGACGACGCCGCGCGCGGCGTCCTCGGCCCCGGCGGCGAAGAGCGCGCCGAGGGCCGCGGGGTCGAGGGGCGCGGCCGTGTCGTCGAGGTGGCGCCGGACGGCCGCGGCGACCTCGGAGTAGCGCGCCGCGAGGTAGGGCGACTGGTCGCGGACGAGGAGCGTGAACTTGAAGAGCTCGTCGACGACGTCGACGACGCGGTCGCGCGCAGGGCCCGGCTTGAGCGCGCCGCCGGCGAACTCCGCGTGGCAGCGGGGGATCGACGCCTGGTTCGGCACGACGACGCAGCGCATCCAGCGCCCGAGGACGCGGAGCGCGCAGACCGTGTTGAACGACTGGGACCCGCCCTCGACCTGCATGACCGCGAGCGTCTTCCCCTGCGTCGGCCGGACCGCGCCCTCGCTCAGCGGCATCCAGTCGACCTGGTTCTTGAAGACGGCGCTGAACGTGCCGTGGACCTCGGGGCTGCACCAGACCATGCCCTCGCACCAGCGCACCAGCGCCCGGAGCTCGAGGACCTTGGCGTCGTCGCCGCCCGCGTCCTGGGAGAAGAGGGGCAGGCCCGCGGGGTCGAAGACCCTGGCCGCGGCGCCGTACTTGGCGAGCTGGCGCGCCGCCTCGAGAGCGAGGAGCCGCGAGTAGCTCGCCGCGCGGAGGCTCCCGTAGAGCACGAGGAACCGCGGCGGCCGCGTCGACATCGCCGTCGCCAGCGCCGCCACCGTCGCCTCCACGGCGCCGCGGCACGCCTCGCTCGACCCGCCGGCGAACTCGAGCGTGCCCGTCGGACAGCAGCTCACGTGCGGCGCCCCGCCGAGCTCTTGTAACGTGGAGGCCCGCAACGCCGCCGCGAGGACGCCGTCCGAATCGGCACCGTCCCAGGGATTCGCCTTGGTCAAGCCCGCCTCGTCGGCATAATTCACGCTCGCCATCGTCGTCCAAAATTTTGTGGCGAGATTTCAGCGATCCGAAATGAGCACATATCGCGGAAAGCGCGGGGCTTACGGCCACGCGGGCAGGAAAAGGGGCGCGCCCTAGAGGCGGCGGCGCTTGCGCTTGTCGCGCTTGAGCTGCTCCTTGGGCGCGCCGCGCGTCCGCTTCTTGAGCCCGTTGGTCCGCGCCTTCTTCTTCTGGACCATGAGGTAGTTCTTCGTGCGCCGCTTCTCCGTGTTCGTCTTGCCGCCCGCGTGGGTCTTGAGCTGGTACTGCTCGCGGTCGAGGACGTTCTGGGCCTTGCGCTCCTCGACGGACGTCTTCCGCTTGACCGCGTCGGGCAAAATGTCGTTCGACTGTAGGAAGCCCTGGCCCGACGCGCCCGCGCGGCCGCCGGCGGCGCGGAGCTCCGCCGCGCGCGCCTTGAGCAGGCGGATGCGCGCGAAGTCGTCGTCGGAGAAGATGCGGTGGCCCGGCGGCGGCGCGGCCGCCGCCGCGGCCTCGGCCGCGGTCTCGGGCGCGTCGAACCGCACCTTCTTCGCCGCCGGCGCCGCCGCCTCGCCGTCGTCGGACGCGTCCTGCCAGCCCTCGTCGCCGTCCTCGCCGTCGTCGTCGTCGTCCGACGCCTCCTCCCAGCCGCCCTCGCCGTCGTCCTCGTCGTCCTCCTCGCCGTCGTCCTCGTCCTCGCCCGCCTCCTCGTCGTCGCCGTCGTCGTCGCCGTCGTCGTCCTCCACCTCCTCCTCCTCGTCGTCGTCATCCGCGCCGTCCTCCTCCGCGCCGCCGTCGTCGTCGTCGACGTCGACCCAGCCGGCGCCGTCGTCGTCCTTGACCCCCTCGCCGACGCCGTCGCACTCGCGGACCGCGTCGTCAAAGTCCTCCGGTAGGTCGCCGCGCTCGTAGGCCCGCAGGAGCTCCTCGCCCTCGACGGCCGTCGCCGCCGTCGCCGCGCCGTATTTCGCCGGCTCGCGCGTCGACGCCGCGTGCGCGCGGCCCCGGTCCTTCTTGTGGAGCAGCGCGGGGTAGTGCTCGCGGACGACGTTGATCCAGCCGCGCGCGGCGACGACGACGGACCGGTCGCGGTGCTTCGCGTGGGCCGCGAGGTCGCGGACGAAGCCCAGCATCTCCGGCTCGTCCAACAGCGCCGGGCAGCGGCCCGCGACCTCGCGGAGCGCGTTGATGCCGAGCGCCATGGCCTCGGGCGCGTTCCGCTCGCTCACGAACGCGTCGGCGATCTTCCGCGCGGCCGCGACGAGCTCGTCCGGCGGCACGAGGTCGTGGCAGGCCTGGGCGAAGACGGCCAGCAGCTTCGGCGCGTCCTTCTGGTGCGCCGTGAGGTAGCGCTGCACGTAGGAGTAGAACGGCAGCAGCGCGAGCTTGTGCGCGCACGCGACGCGCGAAATCAAATCCATCATGGCCACGCGGATCTCGAACTTGTCCTTCTGCGCCCGGAGCCGCGCCAGCAGCCGCTCGCAGAGCTTGTGGGGGTCGTCGAGGAGCGCGATCGCGGGGAACACGGGCTTGCTGTCGCCGCGGGTCCGGTCCGTCGCGTCGCGCGCGAGCTTCTTCACGCGCTTGAGCTGCTTCTTCGTGTCGCGCTCGCGCTTCCGCGTCTTCTTCGAGTGCTTGTGGACGTCGACGTCGCGCCGGCCCTTTTTTATCGCGTCGGACGCCTTGCCCGCGTCGCGCGCGTCCTCGTCGTCCGAATCCAGCTCGTCGAGCACGGGCGACTGCTCGATGCCCAGGAAGAAGTGGATGGCCGTGCACGCGAGCTTGCTCCGGTCGTCGACGCACGCGCGGCCCACGCAGTTCACCGTGGGCGCGCACGTCCAGACGCCGCGGCCGTACAGGTCGACGACGGCGTCGAGCGCGACCTTGGCCGACTTGTCGCTGCCCTCGCGGGAGGCGTCGCCGCAGTGGAAGAAGAGGCAGCGCTGGAACTTCTTCATCAACGCCTGCTGCGACCCCTTGGACTCGCCGCCGCCGCGCGCGCAGCGGCGGACGTCGTTGACGACGTGCGTCCGGAGCTCGTCGCGGAGCGCGCGGTCGCGCACGCGCCGGATCAGCTCGAAGCAGAGCTCGAGCAGCTCCACGGGGTCGAGGAGGCCCTTGGACCGCGCTAAAACGCACGCCTGCACGAGGCTCAGGCGGAGCTCGGGCGCGAGGCCCACGCAGCGGTCCTTGAGGAGGCGGCAGAGCTGGGGCCCGAAGCGCTGCGCGGCGAAGTCGTAGTGCTTGCACGTGTGGCTCACGAACGTCGCGAGCTCGGCGAGCCGCTTCTCGTCGCCGTCCTTGGCGAGGCGGCCGGGCGCGGCCTCGCCCTCCGCGGACCGGAGCTTGAAGACCTCGAGCTCGCTGAGGTACTGGCGCCAGATGGCCTCGAACTCCTCCTTGTACGCCGGCGGGTCGCGCTTGAGCAGGTTCTGCAGCACGGGCAGCGTGTGCTGGCGGACCTTCATGCTGGCTGCGGCGGCTGTGGCCGCGCGGACGACGAGTTCTCGGCGACGCGGCGGCGCTGGCCGACGCGACCAGGCCCGGCGACGAAGCTGACGGCTGGTGGTCGTCGGCGGGGACGTGGGCGGCCTCGCGCGACGCGAACACCGCCGACGAGATGGGCGATGCTGGCCGATGATGCACGGCGCCGAAGCCGTCGAAGCCGTCCGCCCTCATCGATTGCAGTGTGTGCCACCAAGCACTGCGTCACGTCGCCGCGCCCGCGCGCACAGGCCCGCGCACCTTCCAAACCACTCCCGCGCATGAGTCCTTGGCGCGCCCTGGCGATGCTCGCTGCCGTCGCGCGCGGGCTGCGGCCGTCGGCCCGCCCGAGCTTCCGGCGCGGCCGCACGATCACCATGGGCCTGAAGACGGGCATCGTCGGCCTGCCCAACGTGGGCAAGAGCACGCTCTTCAACGCGCTGACGGAGGACGTCAACGCCGAGGCGGCGAACTACCCCTTCTGCACCATCGAGCCCAACGTGGGCGTCGTGTCGGTCCCCGACGCGCGATTGGCCGCGCTCTCGGACATCCACGACTCCGAGAAGACGGTCGCGACGAGCCTCGAGTTCGTCGACATCGCCGGCCTGGTCAAGGGCGCGTCCAAGGGCGAGGGCCTGGGGAACCAGTTCCTCGCGAACATCCGCGAGTGCGACGCGATCGTCCACGTCGTCCGCTGCTTCGACGACGAGAACGTGATCCCCGGGGCCGAAATCAAAGCCCCAACCCGAATTCAATGTGAGATTATGCGACCGCTTCGACGCAAGCCCTTCGGTTCTGCTTCGAGAACTCGACGAGAGCGATCGAGTCGTCCAAAAATCAGCCGAATCGACTTCGATTCGACCGAGCTCGAGAGGTTTGAAGTTTTGGCTGGAATAGCCCAACCAGTGGTCGATTCCCACACAGGTGATCCACGTCGACGGGTCCATCGACCCCCTGCGCGACGTCGACGTCATCGAGCTCGAGCTCGCGTTGAGCGACCTGGCCCAGGTCGAGAAGCGCCGGGAGCGCGCGGGCAAGGACGCGAAGACGGGCAAGGCGCCGCCCTGTGTGCAAATCAAATCTTCAACCCGACTTCAATGTGCGCGTATTCGAATGTTTTGACACGAGCACTTCCGCCGTGCTTCGAGAACTCGCTGATAGCAATCGATTCGTCCAAAAATCAGCCGAATCGACTTCGATTTGACCGAGCTAGAGAATTCTGAAGTTTGGCCCCGACGTCCCAGCTCACTGGTTGATTTGCACACAGGCGCCGCCGGAGGAGATCCCCGCGCTCGACAAATTGGCCGCGGCGCTCGACGAGGGCACGCAGGCGCGCGACGTCGCCCTCGAGGACAAGGAGCTCGAGGCCGTCAAGGGGTTGAACCTGTTGACCATCAAGCCCGTCATCTACGCGTGCAACGTCGCCGACGACGATCTGGCCGAGGGCAACGCGATGGTCGAGAAGGTCCGCGCGAAAGCCGCGGAGACGGGCGAGACCGTCGTCGTCGTGTCGGCGCAGGTCGAGTCGGAGCTCGTCACGCTCGAGGCCGAGGACCGCGACGAGTTCCTCGACGCGCTCGGCGTGTCGCTCGAGGCCTGCGGCCTCCGCGCGCTCGTCCGCTCCGCGTACGACGCTTTGGGCCTCATCACCTACTACACGTCGGGCCCGACGGAGACGCGCGCCTGGACCATCGTCGACGGCTGGCGCGCGCCCCAGGCCGCGGGCGTCATCCACGGCGACTTCGAGCGCGGCTTCATCAAGGCGGAGACCGTCGCCTACGACGCGCTCGTCGCCGCGGGCGACGAGAAGGTCGCCAAGGAGCAGGGCCTCGTGCGCGCCGAGGGCAAGGAGTACGTCGTCAAGGACGGCGACGTCATGCTCTTCCGCTTCAACGTCTAAGCAAGGAGATAGGGTGTTTAGGCGATGACGCTGCCGTCGTCGCTGTCGTCGATCTCGACGACGTCCCGCGCGTCGGGCGGCGCGCGCCGCGGCCGCTCGCCGTCGCCGTCGTCCGGCCGCGGCCGCTTGCCCCGGAAGAAGGCCTCGAGGTCCTCGGTCGTCGCCGCCGGCGCCGGCGCGGCCGCGGCGCCGCGCTTCCGGCCCCGCGGCGACGACCGTTTGGGCTCCGGCGCCGCGTCGCGCCGCGCGGCCGCGCGGTCGGCCTCGGCGAGGTCGCGCGCGAGCTTCTCGTCGGCGGCGCGCTGCGCGTCGGCCCGCTCCTTCGCCTCCCGCGCCGCCCGCTCCTCCGCGGCGTACTCCGCGAGCAGCGCCTTCGTCGCGTCGTCGGGCTCGTCGTCGGCCGGCGCCGGCGGCGGCCCGCCCCCCGCGAACGACGCGACGAGCGCCAGGGACGCGGCCTCGTCGTCCTCCTCCGCCCGCCGCCTCATGTACGCTTGATCCACGCAGGCGAGGGCGAGCTCGCCCTGGCCCGGCGCGCGCCGCACGGGCTCGCTCGGCCGCGCCGTCGCCCGCTCGCGCGCCGCGTGCGCGCGGAGCCGGTCCGCGCCGTCGACGACGACGGTCATGGACCGCGTGATGCGCACCTTCGTGCGGCACACGGGGCACATGTTGCTGTACTCGGACATGTTCTTCTCGAGGCAGGCCCGGCAGTAGAGGACGTCGCAGGTCGTGCAGGGGTTGAAAATCACGGCGCTCGCCGGGTCCTCCAGCAGGTTGTCCTTGCAGATGGCGCACTCGACCTCGACCTCGTCGGCCTCGGCCATGGTTCCGCGGCGCGCGCGCGTCGCCCGCAGAGCCTGGGCCACGCCGAGGAGGCCTCCGACGACGCTTCCTGCTCCAAAACTTCACCAAACTGAAGTTGAAGGCGCAGGTTGCTCGGGCGTCCCCCTTACTCCTCACGCGCCGAGGAAGGCCGCGAAGACGTCGCGGCCCCGCTTCGCGTCGTCGTGGCCCATGTGGAACCGCGCGTCGACGACGGCGGCGTCGTCGGAGATGGGCGCGAGGAACGGCAGGTCGCGGCGGAACATGCGGTGGTGGAGCACGAGGCGCGGGCAGGCGTCGACGGGCCGCGGCGTGGGCTTCGGGTCCTGCACCGACGCGTCGACGTAGAGCCCGCCGTCGACGCGCGACCGGTGGAAGGCGAAGGGCGGCCGCGCGCCGTACGCAAAGGGCACCTGGGCAGCAAAAGGGTGCGAAATTCCCAACTTCAAAGGCTCCTATCTCGGTCGTTTTCCGCTCGTTTCGGCTGATTTTTGGACGAGCGATCATCTCTCGGAACGGCCTCGAAGCGTGGGTGCTATTTCCGAAACGCGCGCGCGCGGAACACTCACGTTGAAGCGACGTTGAATCACCCTTGTGCTGCCCTGAAGGGCACGAAGCTCGAGGCGATCATGTCGTCGACGAGGTCCGCGTTCGACGCGAACGCCGACCGCTTTTTGGGCGTCACGCCGCGCAACGTGACCTCGCTCAGGGACACGTGGAGCCGGCCCGACGCGGTAGCGTGCGCCGCCGGCGCCACGTCGTCGAGGTACGCGAGGAACGCGTCGAACACTCTATCGTTCCATCGGAACAACGGGCCGCCGTCCGCGCGGACGCGCGCCACGAGCGCGAGGTGCGCGTCCTCGTGGAGCGCGCGCGCGGAGACGCCCGTCGCGAGGAGCAGCGCCCCAAAGGTCCCGGCGGAGGCGCCGCCGACGGCGCAAACCTCGGTACGCAGGGCGTCGCCGAAGTCGTCCTGCATGGCGGCGACGACGCCGAGCATGTAGGGGAACATGCCCGCGCAGCCCGCGCAGGCGAGCTGCTTCCCCGGCGGCGCCGCGCTGCCCAGGCGGCGGCTCAGCATCGGCGGTGGGCTGCGTGCGACACGGGTGAGCATCATCGTTCAGAACTTGATAACCCCGAAAATGCACTTGATGTTCAACGGCGGCCTTGGCTTCACACTTCAGCTTAGGCCGCCGGGAAAGGAACCCCGCCTAAGGCTTCAAGGAAAGTAGACTTCAGACATGCTTAGGGGACCCCGCCGCGGAGCAGCTCCGCGCGGAGGAGCGTCGGCGCGTCGTCGCCGTCGCGCCGCGCGAGGAGGAGCACGTGGGGCCGGTCCGACGAGAGGCCCCGGAGGGTCCGGTAGCGCGCGGCGAGGGTCGCGTCGTCCGGGTCGTCGGAGCCGAGGAACGCGGCGGCGACGGGCGGCGCCGCGCGGCACTCGAGGCTCGCGCCGTCGGCGCCGTCGACGCGGAACGTGAGGCCGCCACGGCGGACCTCCCGGGCCACGTCCGCGTCGTCTGCCGCCGCGAGGTCGTCGCGGGACCGCTTGCCGAGGATCGCGCCGAGGGCGCCGGAGACGAAGAGCGCGTTCGCGGGCCGCCGGAGCGCGTCGACGGCCTCGGCGACGGAGCACGCCGTCGCCGCCGTCGCGCCGCGCGGCGCCGCGGGCTCCGGCGGCGCCGCGGGCGCCGCCGCCGGCCGGGCGGCCGCGGCGCGGAGCGCCGCGACGTCGCGCGCGTAGGCCTGGACGGCCCAGGCGACCGCGCGGCCGACGTGGCCGCCCGGCGGCGCCGCGGCGCCGGCCGCGAAGCGCCACCGCACGCGCGCCGCGGACCGGCACTGGCACGCGAGCCCCGCGCCGTCGCGCGCCGCGTCGCGCACGTCGACGCTCACGACGTCGAGCCGCGCGACGGTCGTCGCCGTTGCTTCGGCGGCGGCGCCCCAGAAGACGCAGGTGACGGCGTGCGTCCCGTCGCGGAGCTCGAGCTCGAGGCGGCGCTTCAGTTGCTTCGCGGTCATCTCGTCGCGGATGCTGAGCACGACGCCGCAGACGTTGACGCAGGCGTGCGGCTCGTCCCAGACGCGGGCCAGCGGGTAGGCCATGGGGCGCGCGCGCGCGACGGGCGGGAACGTTCTCGCGGCCCCAAGTGAAAGCGTCGCTGTTTTCCACAAGAAGCCGGCTCCTCTGGCTCAATCCAGCTCCGGCCGCCGACGCTGGGCCGTGCTCATCGGGCTCTCCCGGCCGCGACCGACGCGCCGGGCCGACCCCGAGCAACAATATGGCGAACGCCCTCGACGACGCCCTCGCGGACAGCTATATGAAGCGCGACGTCTCCGAGGAGGGCGTCGGCGCCGTCCTGCAGCAGACGGCCTTCTCCGTGGGCTGGCAGGTGCCCGGTCTCCGC